ATGATTTACCCGTAACATATACATACCAAGATTTACGCACATGTAAACCAACTGCAGATGATGATTTACCCGTTACATATACATCCCAAGACTTACGCACATGTAAACCAACTGCAGATGATGATATACCCATTACATATACATCCCAAGACATACGCACATGTAAACCAACTGCAGACGATGATTTACCCGTTACAAATACATCCCAAGACATACGCACATGTAAACCAACTGTAGATGATGATTTATCCGTTACATATACATGCCAAGACATCCGCACATGTAAACCAACTGTAGATGATGATTTACCCGTTACATATACATGCCAAGACATACGCACATGTAAGCCAACTGTAGATGATGATTTACCCGTTACATATACATACCAAGACTTACGCACATGTAAACCAACTGCAGACGATGATTTACCCGTTACACATACATGCCAAGACATACGCACATGTAAACCAACTGCAGATGATGATTTACCCGTTACATATACATGCCAAGATATACGTACATGTAAACCAACTGCAGATGATGATATACCCGTTACATATTCATGCCAAGACATACGCACATGTAAACCAACTGTAGATGTTTTACCCGATACATATACATGCCAAGACATACGCACATGTAAACCAACTGTAGATGATGATTTACCCGTTACATATACATGCCAAGACATACGCACATGTAAACCAACTGCAGATGATGATTTACCCGTTACATATACATGCCAAGACACACAACCAACACAACATACGTGGTCTGGCCATGAGCTTGATCGCAGGGGTGGTAGGAACCTTCTTCTGGCCCACAAACTGCATCTGAGACACCGTCTTAGCGTGATCGGCAGCATTGCGCGCTCTGAGGATGGGCGTGATCATCTTCTCTGTCAGCACATGGAATCCTTCGTCGAATAGAGTGTCGGCCTCGTCGATGACGCAGTACCGAACATCGCTCATGAAGATCTTTTTGTCTTCAATCCGAGACTGCCGTGATAGATGCGGGTGGATGGAGTGTGTACAGGGTGAATATACGTGTAATTGTATGGAAATATAGCCAATGTGGGTGTTCTAGGTATTTGATTCACGTGCGCTAAAGGTATTTGACTTACGTGTGTGTGACATAGGTATTTGGTATATGTGTGTGTTATAGGTATATGGCTTACGTGGTATTTGGTATATGTGTGTGTTATAGGCATTTGGCTTATGTGTGTGTTATAGGTATTTGGCTTATGTGTGTGTGATATAGGTATTTGGCATATGGGTGTGTTACAGGTATTTGGCTTATGTGTGTGTTATAAGTATTCGGCTTATATATGTGATATAGGTATCTGGCTTATGTGTGTGTGTTATAGGTATTTGGCTTATATGTGTGTGACATAGGTATTTGGCATATGTGTGTGTGATATAGGTATTTGGCTTATGTGTGTATGTTATAGGTATTTGGCATGTGTGTGTTATAGGTATTTGGCTTATATGTGTGTGATATGGGTACTTAGCTTATATGTGTGTGATATTGGTATTTGGCTTATGTGTGTGTGATATAGGCATTTGGCTTATGTGTGTGTGTTATAGGTATTTGGCATGTGTGTGTGATATGGGTATTGGGCATATGTGTGTTATAGGTATTGGTATATGTGTGTGATATAGGTATTTGGCTTATGTGTGTGTGATATAGGTATTTGGCATATGTGTGTGTTATAGGTATTTGGCATATGTGTGTTTTTTAGGTATTTGCATATGTGTGTGTGTTACAGGCATTTGGCTTATGTGTGTGTTATAGGTATTTGGCATGCGTGTGTGATATGGGCATTTGGCATATGTGTGTGTTATAGGTATTTGGCATATGTGTGTGTTATAGGTATTTGGCTTATGTGTGTGTTATATAGGTATTTGGCTTCTGTGTGTGTTATGTAGGTATTTGGCACATTTGTGTGATATGGGTATTTGGCTTATGTGTGTGTGCTATAGGCATTTGGCTTATGTGTGTGTGTTATAGGTATTTGGCTTATGTGTGCGTGTTATAGGTATTTGGCTTATGTGTGTGTGCTATAGGTATTTGACTTATGTGTGTGTGTTATAGGTATTTGGCTTATGTGTGTGTGTTATAGATATTTGGCTTATGTGTGCGTATGACATTGATATACGCGTGCGAGTACGTGAGTGTTATCCCTGTGTGCGTGTTTATATAGTGAGACAGGCTGAGAAACTCAGAGTCATCACTGAGCAGTGAGCAGGCCTTGATAACGACACACTCTCGTAACAAACAGGTCTGCTTAATCACAATCCACCTGAGTATCTTAGCCGAGCAACATAGTATATGAACGTGTATATATACGCGTAGAATAGGTGCACATATACATAGCACCGCCGATTGGGTATTATACGTGATAGCATTCACTTCCCGTAGTGAACGAACCTCGGAGTGCAATACACACTCCTGCTTGAACTTTGATTGATCACCCAGAATACACTTCATACAAAGATATGCGCTAGACTACATGTAAATAAATTATATATATATATATA